CCCCCCCCCCCCCCCCCAATACCACAATCCCCTCACAGATTCCAACTCACACACAATTACCCGACTGTCTCTCTTCCTTTCTCTCATGTCTGCCACGGAGGTCAGAGTCTGGGTTTTCTGTCCTCGAGCAACACAGCCGTGCCTCGCCGTGATTGTAACTCCAGCTCTGACTGCAACTCTAGACCCAGCATAAGTCAGATCACCCAGCCGCCGCCGCCTCACCATGACCACGGTAAACCTCTTGTTTCACACGCTCAGACACATGTTTACACGTTCCGGCATGTGCCGCGGGGACACGTGATCGTCGCGATCGCACATTCGGTACTGGCAACACACATCGTAGATCATCAAACAGGCTGGGATGCCTGTGCAAGGCCAGGCTTTGGTGTGACTGTGAGGTGAATTAGACAGATCCTGATTTAAATACTGTGGGATCAGATGTTTTTCTTGTGATGATCGGTTTATCTTGGGGAACAAAGCCCTTTTGTCTTTGCTTCAGCCCCGAGAAGCTAGAGGGAAACTGTCGGGGCCCTGTGCTGGGAGGGGGGGGGGGGGTTCATGTCATTATCGATGTAGATCTGCACTGGCTGTACGGAGCGGGACCCGGCCGTTTGAAGCGCGAGGGCTTTACAGGGAGACAGTCATCTCTCTCACACAGGGAGAGCCAGACTCTCAACTGTCTCCTCTGAAAATTGGATTTCTATCCCCTGAGATTAGGATCAGGCTTTCCCCGCTCCGCTGAGGCTCTATTAGAAAAACATGCCGCCCTCCGAGGCCACGAGAAGCTCGCAGCGCAGACCTCGTCGTCATCTCGGTGACCTTTGACCTTCTCGGACCAGCCGCAATACTGATCCCCACACGGTTTTTCCTCCGGGTGTTTGTCTGTCTGCCAGACGGGCAGGCCCTTGGCCAACTGCAGGTGTCTATTTGACGTCTCTGCTCCCCCTGCCTGGGGCGCATGATGATCACCACGGAAGAGGACAAAGGAGTGTCTGTCTCCACTGAGACAAGCAGACATGAATCTCCCCTTCAATGTGTCATTTACATGCCCCACTTAGAGAATCCAAAACCATATTATATGTACAACACTGGTATTAACTATCAGGTATTGTTAGGCTTTGTTAGAGCAAGATACAGTAAACATGCTATTTGACACCAACACCGGCAGCTGATACAACACAGTTCACTGTAAGGCAACCAACGATCCTGGATGTGGATGATGCCGCTGGAGAAAGAAAACAAGGGTCCATCTGGAAAAATGTGATTTTCATGTGTGACAGCATTATTTTTTTTCCAATATAAGCTGCAATGCTCCAAAAACCAACTAAGAAAGTCCTCTATACTAACAATGGATAAAATGACTACCTGTGATGTGAAAGGGGTCACTTGTAATGAGGACCCTACACATAATTATCACTTGCAGAGCAGTTCCACTCAGCATTGTAGCTGCTTTTAGCTGATAGCTTTGTTTTATCAAAGAAGAACTTCACTTTTTTGCTTTGTTCCTATCAACCTCGTTTGCCGCAGGACGCAGCTGTTTCCAGTTTAAAAAAAAAATGATGTCTGTCGTTTGCTGCGGGGAAGGTAGTGTATTCATTGTTCATTAAAGTTACTTTAAAACTTCCAAAAGGGAAACGTCTCTTCTTTCCGACTTCACAACTCTGTACAATGTGAAGACAAATCTAGATAATATGTGAAATGTTCTGACTATACGGCCTTGGTATGATGCCTCAAAGGACCATAAGGTGTCTGTCTTTTGTTATTTCTTCCCATGCTCAGATCATAAGTTCCCAGAGGGAAGACAAGTGTCTTTAATGAACAAGGATCTGTTGGATGAGTCATTAATCTGAGTCAGCGCAGCATGGTCCATATGGCCTGAAACTGCTCAAAGCCATAAGGACCGTCTCTCTGCCTCTCTCCCTCTTTCTCTCTCTGGATGATCAATCATCATCAAATATTACAAGAATATCGTCTTCACTCAGTTTCACATCAACCAGAGCCAACTGAACAAATTAGGCAATCTAGGATTTTTCTTATCGACATCCAAGGAATTGCAAAAACGTCAACAGTTCTGTGGCACGGCTAGCAGACCATAATATCCCTAAACAATACAGTCATGTTTATGCAACGGAGCCTAGTAGACTAGCCAATGGACGCAGAAATCCAAACCGAAAGATCTAGTGAAGGGCAATACATCACAATACAATATACTGAAACAGAAACACAGCTTTAGATTTGATTTAAGTCGCATGATGACTATCTTGGCGATTGCGTGATCCCAGAAGCACGCATGTGTAGCACCGTCCAAGATCAGAAAGTGTTGAAAAACACGATGAGAACAAATTCTCCTTGTGATCTTAAACTCCCCTGAGCTTCATTAAAAACCCAAAAGTGGAGGTTGCAAATGATGTCAAGATGGAGAAGAGAAAAGAGTTTGGCTCATCTGACCAGTCTCAAAGTTTCAGGAACCTTTTCAAAACACTTGTTCTGGGTCAGGAAGCACGGCTAAAAAGTTACACTAAGTCTGCAATGACTGTGTAGAAAAACTTTCTCCATTCTTTCTCTACCTAGTCCCTTTTGGATTTGATCTTTATTTGGTACTTTGTTTGTAATGCCAAGGTTGCGCTGACTTTTCATTGACTTTTGCACTTCTTACTATAAAGTTTCTCTGACCAGTGTCGGCTAAATACTAAAGACCTGCCATGGAGAGCCCTGTATCTCCTTTAGTCCCCCGTAGGGCTCTGACTTTACTTATGAAAACACAAGACTTCCCAGCTCTTTGTTTTCCCCGAGTCTTCTCACGAGGAGGAGAAAACTGAGCTCTGCCAGTCCTCAACAAAGGACACTTCAGACAAGACCTCGACAGTGGAGATGTTTTGCTCCCTCTGGCTTGTATTTTGGCTTGACGCTCATTCCAAGGACTTGCAACAACAAAACCCGAACATAGCTGCTGTCTTTTTGCAAGATTCAAAAATGAAATCGATATTGATCTTCTGATTTAACTCCCAGTTGAAGTCGTGTATCTTAAATATTACTTTTCTACTGCTGATACCTGAGTTTCAGTACTGATACCGAAACAATACTTTTTGGGTACTTCACTTTCAGTAATATAAACATTTTTCTTTCAAGTTGTCACATGATAAATGTTGTTTCAACGCAAGCAGCCGTACAAGAAAAAATATGTAAAATTGGCATTTTGATTCAATCAAACAATGAGTGAACTCTTACTCTGTAGTGTTTTGGTCAGATTTTGGTCTATGTCAAAAGTACAATAATTTCTGTGAATACAAGATAGGCATACTCACAGATATAATAATACTCTCTGCCGGGGCGGAACTCAAAGCCTAAGGAGAAGGGAGTGAAGAGCTGGAACTTCTCTGAGAACTTCAGCGGTCCGTTGGGCGACAGAGGCCTGTTGCACTCCCAGCGTTTGAAGCCCTTGGCGGTGTGGTCGCAAGAGCTGTAGCCATCGTAGTTCACCATGTAGAGGATGTAACGCTCGGCCCGGTCGTCCGAGACCGGCCCAATGTAGTGCGGACAGTAGACGTCGAGGTAGTCGTTGATGCAGACGTCGATGTGATAATCGCCCCGGTAAAACCTGGAGGACAGAGAGATTGAAAAGAGGCAAATGTAAATATGTGGTTTGTAAAGCAAAACATCAAGTCTGCGCGAAAATACCAAACAGTTTTAAAGTATTTTTGTGTCAAATCATAAGGAATATACAGTCCTTCAGGACTGTGATTACTGACTGTTAGAATGACATTTGAACAACGATGCGCAAGCAAAAGGCGTGAAAAAAGACCGCTAGCAAAGACAATGTGGATGTAAACAATGATGAAAGAATTGTCTTTGCAAATGTTCTGACGAAAGAAATGCCTTCACGTGTATAAGACTTGAATGATACACACGTAGGACCTCAAGCAAGAACATTTTCGTATTCTTATCTTAACTTCCTCTTACTTTTTCTTTTGTTCGACGGGCTCGAACGAGTGCGCCACTTAAGAATGAATACGTTTGTGCCCGTTGTGTTTGAGTGAGTAACACTGAAAGTTCCCAGGGCATCTTTAAGTTGTTCAAGTCTACAGCTCTGATGTAAATGCAAACATGTTTTTATTAATGTGCCTTTCAAAGAAGCATGTGAGCCTACATGGCTGGATCTAGTTGTTCCTAATCCACAGTGAGGGCATTTTTCTGTATATCAGCAATAATAATACCATGATTAATCTGTTATTGGTGAGGTGATCGTTCTATATGTTTATGTATGCAATGATAATTCCCATGTGATCTCTGAACTTGATCTTTTTTAATGATTTATTAACCCAATGAAAATATGCCGAGTGTGCATGTTCTCTCTGCTGCAGCCTGCTCTGTGTTTTGTACTCGGCTAACATTCAAGAAGCGGTGATTTGCTCAAGGGTACATTGGCAGCAGCTGCTGAAGTGGGAGGATGGTTACTCATTGATTTGCTCGGGGAGTCTCTCCCCATCACACTCCTCGATGACGCGTCCTCCAAAGAGTTGCGAGTGCTCCAACACCTGATGACAAGAGATGATACTTCGAGTACCTTAGCGAGGCCGCAGCTGGAGAAAAAGTTCCCACAGGTGCTCGGAAACTCCGGCCGGACTGTGAAAGAGACATTCTCCGGCTCTGGTTCTGTTTACACGATCTCATCATGTCAGTCTCAATCTTCGCGAGCCTCTTGTGAGACTCAAACGAAACCCCCTGCAAGACACCCGCCCCGTCAGAAACCTCGCAGGGCACACGCGAGTCAGCTCTAAGCCATATATCAATGTTGGTGCTCGGCAGCGATGACTTATGCTGGTGCTGAAATTAAAGTCCCCTAGCGTTACAGGGCTAATCCCCTGGTTAGCATGTGCCTTTAGCAGCGTTAAGAGGATCCCCCTGTAAAATGAGATTTTCATTAGCCTGATATGACAGCTTGATTTAGGAGCCCCTCGTGGAATCTCCGAGTCTGGGAAAATGAGGCCTGTTCTCAAGCCTCGCCTTGAAACGGCCCCCGAGAATTTTCGCCTGGTGTTTACTGTAAACCGAGTGGACACAGGTGAGGGGGGGGAAGAAAAGCGCAGAGGCGAGATATGCCAGGTATTCATTCCTGAGGAGAGTGATTGGAAACACATATTCCCATAGGCGCCGTATAAGGTTGCATTTGTGAGGCTTTTAGCGGAGGCGGATTACGCTTGGACGGCCGACTGGTCGTGTCTCTATAGCTGCTAATGGCCCGCGGTTCAGTATCACTGACATACTGCGGATGTCTTCAATACTCCACCTCTGTTCATTGACACAGTGAGGGCCGACAGGGGAGACATGTGCCAGATACCATGTTGGAGCACGCAGCGTGGCTGATGATTAGATACGGGGGGGGGGGGGGCAGACTTTTCTTTACCTTGACGTTACAACCGGATCAGACATTACGCATGCTCCTGCTGCTCGCCGAAGGGGACGGCAGCACCAGTCAGCTGATCTGAGGCCAGGTGAGAAAGGGAGGGAGGGAGATTCAGCTGTTGCTGCTGACACGTAAATGTCGGGGTTCTTGGGGGGGGGGGGGGGGGGGGGGAGCAGGGGCGGCGTGAAGGGGAGGTGTGCGCTCGCCGCGGCCTGCTGGGGGGTATCATGTTGTCGTTACACAGATTGTGAATGTGCCACGGGATTAGTGGCCGTCCTACTGGGTTTGCCACAAATGAGTGGATGACGTGTGTGCATGCCGGATAGCGGGGTGTGTGGGTGTCTCATGGCCATATTCTAATCTTTTTCTCTCTCTAATTATAGTCTGGTCAAACGTGAAACCAAAGTCCTTGTTTTCTCTTCCAGTTTTTTCTTTTCCTTTCCCCCTTCAGCACCAGCTGGGCACTTTGGCTCCAGGCAGGCACAGCATGGCCTCCCTTAGCCTCCAGTTTCAGAGCTGCTCGCTGATATTATGACTACCAGGGGTCAACCGGCTCCACAGTATCATGTCCTCAGCCAGAAGCACTATGGGGTAGCCTGCTTTGTCCCACCCCCTCCTCCCCCGTGTTTTTACTAAGCCTTAAATGTTAGTTTCAACCTCACAAGTGTCAGTGGCTGTCAATCAAAATCTGACCCAGGAGAAGCAGTAGAGATTAGTTAGGATTAAGAAGAGTTTGTAACTAAAGCTTTTGTGAGAGAGCGAGAGGTGGGGAAAAGTAATACTTGGATACTTGTATTCAGATGCATCCAGAGTTGGAACAGCGTTTACTCCTGTCATCATCACGCATCTCATCATCAGTCTCCAGTGACCACTTCTGATTGGATCTCATTCTACGCTTCAGAGCAGAGACTTAGTTCGAATTTTCATAATTCTGTAGCTCATTGAAACTACTTTCATCCACAAAAAAAGTTCTCATAAAATTATTGACGGTGACCTCTGGGGACTTTCCAGAGAAGTTATGAAAGTTGCTCTTGAATTGTAATCGTAATTTTCAGTCCTCTGAGCACAGGACAAATTACTGAGGAAATGAGCAAATAGAAAAAAGATAAGATCAGGAAACAAGAAATATTATTTGTTAACAAAGAATTGTTGGTATTTCCTGTTTGTAGTTTAACAACATTGCTGGATGGAATTGGATACGTTGGTGAATTAGTTCATTGTAATGTTGTTGAGAGGCAGCTGCACCTGTTGCATTACGATCCTGAAGCAAGATTCACATTTGTTGCAGCTTTGGCTGAGGGCGACGTGTCTCTGTGTAAAATCAGTGCATCCCTCTCTGCCTGCAAATGTAGTTTGAGCGATCAGTTTCTCACTCTTGCCTCGGAGGCATATTTATATTCCCTGTCCATTTACGATCGCTTCACCAGAGAGGGATTTGGATGGAAGTTCTGAAGGGGCTCAAATGTGGCCAAACACATGTACAACCTAAATCTAGAAATATGGGCCGAAGGTGTTTGTTACAAAAGACTATAAAACGCACAGTGAGAGTAGCGAGAGCACCAACAGATGAGCCAGATGTGTGCCAGATGTTTACTGTATGGATGTTTTTGAGTAGCAGCAATGAAATATTGATAAGACACGGAGCCATAAACACACAGACCGGCTCAAGATGTGGTCGGATAAGATGACGTTTCATCTCTCAATGTCTTCCGGTTTCTTCTTTTGAGGGGCTTTCTCCTGCTGATCTCTACTGTGATCTCTGCTATCTGTACCCTGAGACTCTGAGAGCATCTGTTAACCCCCGTCCCTCCCCTGCCGTGGCCTGGATTCAAGCGTGAGAAACCTGCATTCGTTTACCGAGCTGTAAACTGTCGACGGCGTTCGCAGGCCTAAGCAACAGGGTTTCTTCACTTCCATTACCAGCGAGATGTATTCATCTGTTTCTCGAAAATGCCTTTGTTGTTACAGGCTATTTAGTGAGTCATTAAGCCTTCACGGGGCTGATCGAGGCAATTCCAACCGTTGTGTTTTCCTTTTGGCGTCACTCTGAGCAGCAGGGCGCGCTAAAAGCTGATCGAGGGTTCGGGGTGGTGGGGGGGTTTGATAGCAGGAGGCAGAAAGAACGATCAGGCCAACAAACAAGAGCACGGTTCAGCAGTTCTGTGTCAGTTCGAAATGTGTCATAATGAGCCATTAACAAAATAAAAGCACCTCAATCCATTTGTCTTGGGGATTAATGATCCCTGATTGGCTGAATTACTCGCGGCCAGTTGGAGGGGCTTATCAATGAATCAGTAACTGGAGCTCTTAACAAAGCACACATCTATGGGTAATCCCTCTTTTCAGCGAGCTCCCCAGCTTGTTTGCTTTCTTCATCCCCTTCTGCTGTGTTATTGTCACTCTGTGGCCTGGCACAGGTAAGGTATGGCCAGAGCCAATATGGAGAGAAAGGGGAGAGGAGTGGAGAGTGGAAGAGAAGGATGTAGGGGACAAGAGGGCAAGTAAAAAGGCAGGAGAAGGAGAGAAATAGAGGAAAGGTGGAAGAAGAACGAACGGCTGTGTTCAGAAAAACTAAATTCAAAGCCCTTAAATCTCCCTGAATTTTGTATATTTGCTCTGTTTAGTACCAGATTACATAGATTTAAACTCCCTCTCCATGTTCTGGTGTAGAAATACTGAACTCCTTATGTATTTATTTTCTTTATTTTGTTGGTGTGAATTATGAGAAAAACATCAACTCTCACACAGTCTCCTCTACAAATGATAATATTTATCCACGAATAAATATACACACATTTTTCAGGCACTTTATGAAGTTGTGCTTCTTATTTAAAAAATGCTGACATATTTTTTATTATTTTGTTGCCATTAGAGTGGTCACATTTTAATATTATAAAGAGTCTAAAAATACTGGATTCAGCCGAAAAAATATTTCGGCAAAACATTTGATCCCCACAGGTGTGCTGAAAACCCCAAATTCCACTCAAAATACAGCAGACTTGAACACAGCTGTATGTCCCAGGATGGTTGAAGAGAGGAAGTAGAAGAGAGAAAAAAGGAAGATTGTGGGTGGTGACAAGATGGTGGAAGACAGTAGGAGAGGAAAAGAAATAGGAATGAGGAGCAGAAGAGGGGAAAGGTGGAGAAAATTGAGCAAAAAGGAGTGAAGCAAGGGAAGAGAAGGATGGACAAAA